TTATACTCATTTTCTCTTTTATGTTACCTTTCATCATTTTTTATTATTTACCTTGTTATTATTTCTTTTATTCTATTTTTTTTGTTTAAATTTATCCTATTTTTCTAGTCATCTAGTGAAAGCTGAGGGTCTGAGACCTTTCTTTTTCAATATAGGTATTTGGCATTATGAAATTTCCCCTACTATTGTGCCAGTTTCATTCACAAATTTCAATATGTTGAGTTTTAATTTTCTCTCATTTCAAAATACTTTCTGATTACCCTTTTGATTCTTCTTTGATTCATGAATTATTTAGAACTGAGTTTTTTAATTTTAGATATCTTTCTGTCATTGATTTCTAACTTCATTGTGTGAAGAGACAATATAATTTTGTATGGTTAGAGTTCTAACCATACATTGTGTGATTGAGAATCACACAATCAGAATATAGATTATATTAGAAAATGTTCTGTATGTGTTTGAGAAGAGTTTGCATTTGGCTATAGTTGGGTAAAGTGATTGATAAATGTCAGGTCAGGTTGGATGATAGCTGTGTTACAATCTTCTTCTACATATCCACTAATTTCCCCTTTATTTGTTTATAAGTTATTGAGAGAAGAATACTAACATCTCAGGCTATAATAGCAAGGTACAATATTGGATTTTTCTATTTTTTTTGTAGTTCCATCAGATTTTGCTTCATTTACTTTTAATCTCTCTTATTAGATGCATAAACATTTAGAATGCTATCTCCTATTGATTAATTGAGACTTTTAACATTATGAAATAACTTTCCTTATTGCTTTTCATATTTTTTTTGCTATGAAATATACTTTGCCTATTATTGATATGCATTTTAGAGCTTTCTTTAGATTACTGTTAGCATGGTATATCTTTTTACATTTTGCTATTTTAGCCTCTTCTTTATATTTAAGATGTGTTTATTGTAGGCAACATATGCTTAGTTCTTATTTTTTAAGCCCAACCTGATGATCTCTGCCTTTTAATTGAGATATTTAGACAGTTTTCATTAAATGTGATGATTGATATCATTAGGTGTAAATATGTTATCTTGCTATTTGCTTTATGCTTCTCCCTCATTATTTTTAAAGGTTTATTTTTTCTAGATAGTCATCTGTTTATATTATATACTTAATTTGCCTACACTTATTTATTTGCATCCTGCTTGGAATTTCTTTACATCATGAACCTAAGAATCTGTGATCATTGTGAATTCTTGATAATTCTTAGCTAATGTGTCACATAAATATCACCTTTACTCCATTTTCTCTAATCATAACTTTCTGCCCATATTCTCTAGTTTTAAAAATCTTGTTAGGCACATGTTGACTTTTTTCAGATAATTTAGGCTTATAATTAGTGAGGAGAATTTTAAAATGCATATGCATATAGAATGCCAGTGGTGGATAAAATATTGTATGTTCTGTTATTTCTTGCTTAGAAATTATACATTTAAATTTTAGAAAATTTAGAATGAGTATAGATATATTAGATGCTAATATTAGCAGTTAATTTTATAGTTGAACTTCAGACTGGAGATTAGGTAATTTGTCTAAGAATGTATATTTAGGACAAAATAAGTTTGTTTTTCAAATGAACTAAATCCTTTAATATCTTTTGCTTCAAAATATTTATGGGTATTGACATGTGCTATAATGTGAGACTGCATCCCCCCACTCTAATTCATAAATTTAAGTCCTAGCCCTTTTTACCTCAGAGTGTGGCTATATTTGGAGATAGTTCTTTTAAAGAGGTAATTAAGAAACAAATATGAGGTCATTAGCGTGGGCCTTAATCCAGTATGACTGGTGTTCTTATAAGAAGAGGAGATTAGGCACAGACATGTATATAGAGAAATACCCTGATAAAACTAGTAAACTAGATATCAATCTGGTAAACTAGAAGACAATGACCCTTATAAGAGAGGCTTCTGAAGAAATCAACTCTGCCAACAACTTAATCTTGGATTTACAGCCTGCAGAACTATAAGGAAATAAATTTCTATTCTTTAAACCATGCAGTTTGTGGTACTTTGTTATAGCAGCTCTAGCAAACTAATACAACATCTTAATTTTTTTATTATTATCCCTAGGGAACATATATTTTATGAAAGGCGAAGACTTTCTTGTGTTCATATGTCTTCTCTGTATAATTTTGGAAACTGTTAGATCAGATACAAAATCTGTTTTGTTCAGCTGCTTCTGTCCTGTGTTTTTCTATTCCTTATAGGTACTTGAGGCATGCTATTTTTCTATTGGGATGTTCTATCTCTTCCTATAGATTTATTATATTCGTCTAATGAAGAATTTTATTGGAATTAAGGTCCATTATTAACTTGGTTGGATTATTTACTATTAAATATAATGGCAATAATTTAGGTGTATTTGAAAATAACAGTTATAGTGTGTCTGTCTATTTGCATATTTATCCAGGATGTAAGTCTATATGCAGGAGAGTAGTATGCTGCTATTTGAGGTTTCCAGGATAGCTTAAATAATGACCTAGTGGCCTATATTTTTTATAGGTTCTAAAAGTTTCTAATGTTACACTGGGAAATAAAAGAGGCTTACTAACATTTAATTTTCATTTGCTTTGTGGGAACATCTATGTAATCCTACAAGGTAAATATTCTTGGTTATTATTTCCACCGGCAAGCAGTTTTTCTTTTCATTTATATACTGCCTTTTGCCATACAGATTTTGTCATATTTCTTAAGTTCATTTGGTTATAAAGTTACTTTAAAATATCAAACTCATCAATCATATATTTCCTGGACTTCCATAATATAACTTGACTCTTAAATTTACAGTTCTTTTGCTGAGTATAATTTAGCTTTTAAATTTATAGATCTTCTTTCTGGACAGATCAAGCTGTTCAATGTTTGAATAATGTATTCTTGATAAAGGACAGAGTGGGTTTTTATAAAGAACATGACTGACAACACCTTGACCTGATCACGATAATTTCAAGTTGAAATTTGAGAGGAGAAAGAAATACTGATAAAACTAGTGAACTAGGTATCATGAAAGGCAGTGGTTATAAAGAAGGACCCAGAACAGCACTATGGCTTCTGGTATTTATCTTCTACTTCACAGAGATGCTGGTGTTAAAGTAAATCTGAAATTTTAATAGAAGGCAAATACGTTTTCTAGTTATATAAATTTACATGAACATTCTATATTCCGAAGTATCCCTGAAGCTTGATGAGTAAGTATCATTATTTTGTATTTTATGGTTTGGTTTTGGAATATATGTCATATGACAATATTTGTTGACAGTAAACAATGTTTTAAAATATTATAAATATGTTTATAATGTGAGTAGAGTAAATGCAGTTACAGTGGGAAGGAACATAAATTTCACTGAATCCTATCTAATACAAGACAAGGGAACATAATCTTATGTCAAGAAGAGGTCTTCACAAAGGAAGTTGTTAAACATAATGGTAAAAATTTGGGGATTTTGGGTGGTGATAAGTGGAAAGAAAAGCAGAAATTCTGTTCTTATGGAACAAGGGTTTAGTTTCTTAAATGTAGGACAGAACATTTTAATTTCTAAGGTTATCTCCAACCCTATTCTCTGTTAATGCAAATAAGGTTGATATTTTTGAAACGTGGGATGAAAAAGTTTTCTTTCCCAAATCTAGTATGTATGAGAATTGAATGGAGCTGGGTTTGTTGGCACACACCTGTAATCCCAGTGACTTGGGAGGCTGAGGCAGGAGGATTGCAAGTTCAAAGCCACCTCAGCAATTTAGCAAGACTCTAAGCAACTGGATGAGTTCCCATCTCAAAATAAATAAAAAAAGAAAAAGGTCTGGGGATATGACTTGGGTGGTTAGGCTGTTCTGGGTTCAATCCTTGGTTACCACTGCCCCCCCCCCCAAAAAAAAAAAAAAAGAACAGAAAAAAATTGAATGGAACATTTGTTAAACTGTATATATCTGAGATCAGAAATTCTGATTTAATTTTGAAGTAGGACCTAGCAGTCTACATTTTATGTTTTAGATTGAGGATTCCGTGTTATTCTTTAGATAAAGTAAGTTTATTAAAATATCATTCTTTTGCATTTTATGGTTTGGTCTTAGAATATATGTCATATAGACAATCTTTATTAACAGTAAACAATGCTTTAAATATTATAAATATTTTTATAATGTGAGTAGAGTAAATGCAATTACTTTATAACATTTGCTGCTGTAATTTAGGGTGTTGTGAAGAAAGGGAAAGTGGTACGTAAATGAATGAGGGCAATAATTGAAGTCAGCAATTCTACATGAATTTGTTATTTTAGATCCTCAGGTAAGCAGATACCAAGATATGGGGTAAGAAGTGAGAGATAAAGGGGAGGAGGGGAAGGCATAGGGAATATTTAGATTACTGTGAAATCTGACACTTTGTAGAAGTTGAGTGAAGGAAAATGGATGGGGTTCCGTGATACAGGCCTGAGCAAATCTAAGCCCGTCCAATGGTCAACTCTGATGTGACAACAAAAAAGTCCATTGTTGACCAGACACAGCCAGACCCTGGCTCCCTCAGAGTTCACAGTCTGGACATCTTTGTGGACAGAATGTGGCCTCTGCTCCAGCACTGTGGCACATCCTAAGTGCTGGAACTCCCAGCTCCCCCACTCCTCCTGACAGGCACCTCCTGAAGGGAAGCAGAGCAGTGCACATTCCTGGCTGCCACATATTTTTTGATGCTGACCGAGTGCGAATGCATACTTGGAGGCATAATTGGACATCATCTATGCTGATTTCCTTTGGCTTCTGTTTTTTTGCTTCTACTTTTATTGTTTTAAGTCTCTCCGATTCCATTTAGTCCCACACATTTTTCCTCCTCCACCCATCAGGTGTATGATGTGAATGATTCTATTCATGTATGATTTCGTTTATATCGATTCAAAAATAAATACCCTTTGTTAGGATGTGATGGTTAAAAACTGCTCTGTAAAGATATGGGATTTTAACAACTCAAGAGTCTTTCATGTTCTTCCTCTAGTCTGGCACCAAGAAGAACTTTCTCGGATTAACCAGTGTCTCACTGGAGCTGAAAGGAAGGCTGCTTTGTGTGAACTTTTGGAAAAAGAGACCCAGATAATTGCTTCCATTGGGAGACACAGATCCATTGCTTATTTGGAAAGAGAGGAATCAGAAAAACAAGTTTTTTTGAATAAGGTTAGTGAAGAAACTGTTATTTCAATATGAATGTATCTGGAGTTTAAAAATGTGTAATCATGATCTAAAAGGATAGAATTGTAAGAATTTGCATGAATTTTGTTTAGCATTTTGATGGCTTATTTCTTTAAGTTCCATATATTTAATTCTTGTGTAGTTGTATATGTTAGTCACAGCCAAGAATAAAGAATGATAAGTAACACAAAAGGAACGTGTTCTTAACTAAAGGGATTTGATCATGAAGGAAAAGATGGCGACACCTTCCTTGTGTCTCTGTTCATTTAAATTTAGGCTGGCTGTGTGAAGTAGATAAGTTGCACACTCTGGTGAAATGCATGGTATGAAAATCACAGAACATCAGGGTCTGGGGTACTCTGATAGTAAGCAGCCTGGGGAAAATAACTCAAGTCTGGTGTCTTACTTGGGGCTCACTATACCATCAACTGACCCAAAGGGTTTATGATTATTGAAAACCATGAAAAAATTCAGTTAAGGGGAAAACTAAAGTAATTACCCTTTTGTGGTCAAACTGCCTGTTTGATGTTGAATGGCTTGTTTCCATAGTAACACAGTTCCTTTTATAAACCTGATATTTCCAAACAATTAAAAGCCAATCCAGCCAGAAGAAAAGGATGAATTTCTCCAATAGATTAGCCTGTAGTGATTCTAGTTTTGTGGTTCTTATTTTTTGAGAACATTTGCTCTTAAAAACTATATATACATATATATATATATATATATATATATATATATATATATATAAATTATCTATATATAGTTTATCTATATAGTTTATGAGTATATATGTACATATATATGTGTGTGTGTATATATATGTATACATATATATACACATGTGTGTGTGTATATATGTATGTATGTATATATATACTTTAAATGACCTCCTATTATTTTACTTATACACTATTTCATCCCAGTTTATTTTGGCTTTTGCTACAGTTCCAGGTCCAGGCCAAACCTATAAGAGCTTTCAAATCATCTATGCAGCTTCCTACTAGCATTGTCCCTTGGATACCTCAAGAGTGCACCTCAAAATGAAGTAGCAACCCTAAGTCATATCATTTCACCATTTTTTACCCTCCTCACCTCCATACAGATCCTATTCTATAGCACTGGTATAACCTTTCTTAGGAATGTTTCATCATCTACTCATTTGCTCTAGACAGTTGCCTGGTTGGTGTTCTTTCTTCCCCATCTGGCTACAAACCTCTTTTATTTCTATTACTTTAATATCTCCTTAATTCTGCATTTTTTCCTTTCTGACTCACTATCATTGAGTACAGAGAAATGACTCTTTTGTGGCATCCTGATAACCTTGCCTGTAACAAGTAGGCCACACAGGCAAAGACTTGGAGCACAGCTATTGTGAGACTTGTCAGAATGCCTTCGGATCCTCCTGGAACAGGAAAGGAGAAGGGTAGCAGCTCCAGTTTCCTGCCTCCCCATTTTCCCTGAGAGAATGTCACAAGATAGGCCTTGCCTTTTCTTATCCATAAAATTGACACTTATTTGATGGACTCTGGATTTTATTCTCACCTGGATTATTTTATGTTTCCAAGTTGGACTATTGCCTCTAGTCTAAACTTCTCAGTTCCCTCCTCCAACATCTACACCAGGGCCATAGTGACCTCACTAAATACACCTCTGATCCTGTCCTTCCCCATTGCCCTGAGAGAGCAGTGCTTCTTCTCATGATCTGTGATATCTCCCTCATCCACTGTTTCCCTGTCACCACAAACACTGCCCCAGCCATGCTCAATTACTTGCATGTCCCCAGAAGGACCTCATATCCTCATTATGCTTTTGCATCTGAGGCTGCCTCTACATGAAACATCCTTTCCCTTCTTCTGTAGTAGCCAGCTACTCACCCTGTAAAACAGGCTCAGATGTCCCTTCTTCCAAAGAGGACCTGCTGATTCTCCTACTAGCCTGCACTGGGACTAGCTGTCCTGGGACTCTGTCTCACCTTTGTCTTTGTATGCAGTGGCCATGTTTTGCTGTCTGTATTGAATGTCTGAATTCTTCCTAGATTCTGCACTTCTTAAGGCAGGAGATGTCTTTCATCTCTGTATCCTTATGTCTTAGTACATTCTTTATCACAGTATCAAGAAATGTTTGTGGAGAATGGCAGGGAGGAGAACCAAGGAACAGATATAATGGTGTGCAATTTTACATTTCAAACATCATCAAGAAATTATGTAGATTCTGTCATTTAAAATTCTTGAATATCTTTATTCTGAGAAAGAAGACTCTACTGTAGGGAAAGCTGTAATACTCATATTTATTGTCATATTTCAAACAAAGCTTCTTCCTGTAGCAGGTTGCTTTTACTTGCATTCAAGTTTCAGCTCTGGAAACTATTCTGATGTGTCTGATCATTAATCTCACCAGAGAGAATAGCATGACTCCAGGAAACATGGGTGTTTCCATGAGCTGGAGGCTTCTAAGTGCTAGGGGACAGGAAGATGGGTGGCACCTATCCTTTCTTACTTGAGGCTGGTCCATCTCCAAGATGTTCCATATGTGTTATCATTGCTGCTTTCAATTTCCTATGAACTGCTGGAAATTCTGCTGTTCTAAATACTTGTACAATGCCTGTTCCTCTTTATGTGATGACTGTCTCACGTTCCAGTCCCCATGTCCAAAGCATCATCTCTAAACATTTTTTGAAATTATATAGAACTCATCAGTGGGTCAAAGCCCAACATGTAAAAGTGACTTCAGAGCCAGTTGATTACCCTGACCCTTTCTCACGAAGTATAGCATGTTAAGAGCTCTTTATGTAAATTTCATTTAAAAAGCAGATAAAATGGAGAAATTTTGTTTACAAGGATTCCTGTGAGGAAGGAAGACCTTTTTTTTTTTTTTAATACTTGATAAGTTTTTGACATAGAATTTTAGGTCCTAAAGAATCCTGTGTGTTATAAAGAATTGCTGTGTGTTAGGAAAATAGGAAGTTTTTGATTTATTTTGTTGTTGTTTTGGAAGAGGAGAAAGAACCAGATAAGTGAGCTGGATTTGTAAGGCTGTAAGGCTGATGTAAGGCTGATGCAGGGTACCTCAGAGAAGAAAGACCAGAAAATTGAGGGAAAGATTTAAATGTTAGCCACAAGAAATCAAAGGAAGGTTTCTTGTGGGTCACAGATTTCAGAATTGGAGTTCTAATCCTATAGACACCCAAGATGAGAAACCAGTTGATCTCAATTCCCAGGTTAAGTTCAGAGGCAGTGTACATTTTAGCTAGTTTTGACCAAAATGTTATTTTGGCTAAGAAAAACAAACCATATAATGGAACACTTACACTTGAGAACAATCCCCAGTGTAATCTCATAATCTTTGGAAATACAGAGTAACTGTGACTTTTAGCCTGTTGCAGTAAATTAAAAATCTGTTGCTACTATAATGCAAAATAAGTTTTATCTTTTTGTATATGCTGCCATACTGAACATCTAAAAAGCAAGATAAATTTTATAAAGTCTTTGTTGTAAATACTTATACAAGATTCCTGTCCACCTCCCCCATGCTATGCCTGGTGTTGTCTCTGATATTCAGGTGGAGTTGGTGTTGATTTAAAAAATGTTCATTTAAGTAACTTCTTATTCTATGGGATTTTTTTATTGCTAAGAAAAAATAGTTTAAAATTAGTACTTGAAGCTAGACAAGATGTCAAAACTAACAAACAACCAGAGACATATTACAAATATTCAGATCTACATTTTTTAGCATCATAACATACAGATACTTAAACAGAAACAGAAATATTTGCTTTCTTATAGTTTGGAAATAACTTCAGAAAATAAAACTTTATGTATTGGTTTTAGTTTAAGTTCACTGAGTCCAAATACTTTGTGGTCCATTGAAATAATATTTTATGTTTTATCTTTTTATCCTGAACATAGAATTTCTCTGAATAATGAATGATATGATTTTAAATTGATCCAACCAAGTAAGTTATAATGAGTTTCTATGCTGGGTTTTCAATTTTTTTTTAGGTTTTTTTTTTAGTTGTCAATGGACCTTTATTTTATTTATTTATATGTGGAGCGGAGAATGGAACCCAGTGCCTCACACATGCTAGGCAAGTGCTCTACCACTGAGCCACAACACCAGCCCCATAAGTTTTTATTCTTGCTAAGTGACTTACTCTAAATATTTTTCAAAGCATTAAATAATTTGTAATTTTAACACATCAAACATTGACTTCCACAGGTTGTCAGATATTAAAAGCCTATAGGTTGACAGAGGTGAAGAAATTCAGGTCAAGAAATTTGAAAGAAAAATCATCAGCTGGTTTCTAATGTATCTTGGATGCTCTTTACCCACTCTGCATCAAGAGATCATTTGAATTTTGTAAGAGGTTTCCCCTAGAGTATGGGCCATTTATTTCTTTGATTCTCTTTGATTCATACACCACTTCTTATAGCCACAAGCTTAAGAAACTGCAATTCACGTCAGCTGTGTCATTTAAATGCTTTTTCTCCATACTCAGGTCCCCAGCAGCTAATGGGACAGGAAAATGCATCCAGCTCTTTGTGAACATGGCAAGAAACAGGGGTGTCTCTGTGGATGAATAAAACCCCTTTGCTGTATAAAAGAAAGGTTGATCACCACCCAGTGGCTTTTGAGGGGTTAAGCTTGTGCTTGCTTTGTGCCCTTAAGGACTTGAGAATTAATTTAGGAGGAAGAAAAAGCCCACTCTCACAGTGTGGCCATTTCTTCTCTTTTGTGGAGGCCTGCTGCTCTCAAGGTTTTTGTTATCTTTCCACCTTCCCTTCCCTGAAATGCGTCTTCCTGCTGTTCTTCTGTTCCTCTGTCCCAGAGTCTGTGCTGTCTCATTTGTTGGCAGCTAAATGGAATTTATTACGCTTCATTTTCTGAAGCAATTTAAGAACATGATTGTTGTACAGTTCTTATTATAGCCAAAGCATTCAAAGAAAAAAGGAAGTAGGAAAGAGAAATAAGCAAAGTTGACATTTTTCTGCGACAGAGTGAAAAACACCTTAAGACCTAAAATCAAAGAAACTTACTCTTAAAGACAGTCTATCAGTGTTGGCAGAAATACGCCCAAGAATAAAAACATCTTTGCCAAATGGATTTTTTAATATTATCTCCATTAGCTCTAGGGAACTGGAACTTCAGATCTGGGACTCTCTGGTTTTATCACTCAGTTCTCTTTATTTTATTAACTCCTAGTTATTCTTCAGTTTTCCTCTTAGATACTGTTTTCTTTTCACCAGCCTAGTGCTTTATAGCAACCCATAGTTATCTACTAACCTGTAGTCATTTACTCCATTCACCCTTTCTTTTATTTTTTTAACATCTATTTTATTTTTATGTGGTGCTGAGGATCAAACCCAGTGCCTCGTGCATGCTAGGCGAGCGCTCTACCTCTGAGCCACAACCCCGGCCCTCACTCTTTCTTTTAATTACTTATTTTCTTAACTTTCCATCCCATAAGATTTGAGAGTTCTTGACATCAGGACAGTATTTTATTTACTCACTGTACTCACAGTACTCACATAGTACTATTTAGTAAACACAGTAAATATTTGTTGAATGAATGAATAAATAAATAATTTAGGCCTGAGAAATATATAGAATTTTATGAAGAATTTATTTCTTATAATCTTTTGGGAGAAATAGAAGTAATAATCATAAACCAATTATAGAACAATATGGATCCAGCTCTCATTGGCCTGAGTGAGATAGAGGCCCTCCATGTTTGTGTGAGTGTTTCTACAGGTGTAAAAGAATTTTAGATACATTGTTGGCTCAAACCATAGTATTAGATGGCTCTTTATAAAAAAATGTAGGGTTTGAGTTCAAAATTGAAGGGTAAGAAGTATTTGTATAAAGAACATATTTGGAAAGACCCAAAATATTATTATGTTGTACCAGATTCCACAGGGCCAGAAACTTGGAGGGAGAGAATGTAGAATTAAATCAAAGCATCAACTGAAAAAAAAAATATATAGTGAAGTAGATAAAGTAGGCATTTCATAAAAACATTTTAAGGACTATTACAAATGAAAAAAGTAACCAACCTGCAGAGAAAAAAGTATTGTCCACATCACTGGTAGAAAGTAAATTACATTTTATATAAACACCCTGAGAAAAATTTCATGCAATGATTAATATATTAGCTGGACTTTAGAATATTGCAGTATTAAACTCAGCCTAAGCTTGCTTATTCCTTCAAATTTTTAAAAGGAATTTTGAAACCAGTGTTGTACTTCAGTAACATGCTGAGGCTTACTCAAAAATGAGGCTGTATCCATTTTAAATTATTTTATTTCTAAGTGAAAATAATTAAATAATAAAATATTTTATTGCTCTATTTCATTTTTATAATTCTTCAATCAATTTTATATAATTTTATTAGTCTGCTAATTAACAATACATTATTTAATATTATTTTTATGACCTAATATAAATTAATTACAGGGCTACAGCTTCTCAATTTTTGTATTACAACTAGAATTGAGAATTTAAAGTTTCTAATGAAGTTCTCTACCTGTGAACTACATTTATTTTCACTTTGAACAGAATATGATGCCATTATTTTGAAACTATATTAAGGGCAGTTGTTTGCAAGAGGTAATTTTGTAGTGATCAATGTAATTTAGCTAATATAAAATGTAAAAAATTAAAGGTATATTGGTGTTATACCTAAAATTTCTTGATAACACCGACCTTTTGAATAACTGCCTTATATTATGTTTCCATTTGGTTATTCTACATTCCTAATGATTTGTTCCAATGCATACATCTTCTCTTTAAGTTTCAAATTAAATCTAGGATTTAAAGGGCTGCAGGTATGGAATAATTGGGCATAAATTGAGGTCCTTATGAACCCCATAGCAATTATCAGTTAACCTACAAAAACTTGGTAGGAGAGAACAGAAGCAGTGGCAAACAGAGAGGCCCCATCATTACAGATTATCCTGGTGTCCTCTAGTCTGGAAGAACTAATTCTGTGTCCTGTCTCTGGTCTTTGACCTCCTCTCCTAGGAGTCTTTAAATGAATTTCAAGGCAAGTGAACTCCATCTTTGGCTCTTGGCTCAGGGGGAGACTAGGTTGGGAATTACTAAGCCAGATTTGGAAATAGAAAGTGAGAATTTTAACTAACATCAAGGTAGCAGGGATCATAGCACTGCTAAGATAGTGAAGTGCAGATGTCCCCTCAAACCCATGGCAGATTGGTTCCAGGACCCCCAGTGGATACCAACATCCACAGTTGCTCAAGACCCTTATATAAAATAGCATACTGTTGGTATATAACCTATGTATGCCTTCTTGTGTACTTTAAGCCTCTGGATTATTTATAATACCTAATACAATGTAAGTACTATGCAAATAGTTATTACACTTGTTGTTTAGGGAATAATGACAAGAAAAAGAAAAGGCCTATATATTCAGTACAGACAAAATTTTTTAAAATTATTTTTTGATCTGTGGTTGGTTGAATCTGAGTATATGGAACCCACAGATAGAGAAGACTTACTATATAATTGTTTCACTATGGACATCTGTTTTGTGAAGAATTTTGAACTTGTTATAGATTTATTTTTGTGTAGGGCCCCAAACCATAAAAATCCCTTTCTGGTGTATCTTTAGGTCTGAAAACATTGAAGATTGTCATAACTGCTACATAAAGTTGTCTGCAATTGGCAGGGCATAATCAAGACACATTTATTATATACAGTCAACATAGTTGAACCAAGCAGATAAAATATTCTTAACATTCTTAATGCATGCCCCCTGTCCCTACCTGGGGCTAATGAGTAATTCTACATGCCCATAAAGCCATTCAGCATACCAATTAGTGCAGGTTGATTGCAGATTCTGAAATCTGTAGAAGACTTTTCTATTGACAGAACAGCTCATTTTTTTCCTAAAATGTTTTATGTTAGCCTGATCTATAAATTCTTCAATTAATTTTCCTAAGTTTTAGTGCTACTTTTAGTTATGAATGACGTTAGGGTAAACTTTTAGAGGAAGGAACAAAATTGTTATTTTTAACCTCTAATTAACAAGAATTCTAAACACAATATTATTTTAAAGTGTTCAGCTCCAAAGATATGGAGAAGATCTGATGGCAAAACGGTTGAGATGGATACCCAGTTCACCATCAGAGCCAGAGAACTGCAGAACATCTATAAGTGCATTACACTGAGGAATCTCTCTCAAGATGAGAGAGTGGATATACTCTTAACACTTAAACATACTGTGAAGGTAGGTTTACTTTCTCTTAGTTTTGGTGTAGAGTTCAATATAAATAATAAAATTAGCCATTAGCAATATAAGTAAAGTATTTTTTGTTAAGTAATTATAAATATTTTTAATAAATGTTTATATGTATTTTATTGTATCAACAATTATGTTATTTTGATATCATTTGGGAAGGATATGGCTTGTTAATTAATATTTACCTAAAAGCTCTTAAATATATATTATACTACATAATAAAATGTAAGCAGAACTTAGTGAATATTTGAAATGTAAATGTATCTATGCAGTGCATGCAAATGTAAGCAAATAAATTGCATGAGATTAATAATTAACTCATTTCCACAAAACAGCAATTATTATCTACACTTTTGGACATTTTTCAATGAAAAGCTGTTTTTCACAGTTTTAAAGTAGTATCATATAGTATTTTTCAAATCTCTTTTTCTCATCCATTATTGACTTCTGTGTTTTAAATTCTGCTTTTAATGAAAACAAAGTTAAGGGATGGCACAGGTCAAGTTTCCTCAAGAAACCGGCTCTAGTATGGGGTTTGTGTTTAGAGGTTCACCAGAGTGCACTCAAGATCACTGGTGTGAGGCAGTATAGAAAGCAGGATAGGGCAAATGGAGTTCACCTGCAGTGAAGTCTCCACAATGACTTTAGCCAGTTTCTCTGGGAACTCTGAAGCTGGGTCGGCCCTCCAGAGTCCTGCTGAATTGAAGCAAGGGGCAGGACTTTTCACTCCCACATGGACCTTCTATTGGATGTAAGCTGACACTGGAAAAGAAGTGTGATTTTGTATGAGGCACCTCTTTCTCAGTGTGCAGTAAGACTCAGAAAGACAAGTAGCCCATGTTTTCTCTCATATGTGGAATCTAGGGGGGAAAAAGCGTAGATATGAAAGTGGAAGGAGGCTGTCAGCGAAGAGGAAGGGGACATGGGGAGTGAAGAAATAGAATAAATATGATCAAAGTACATTATATGCATTTATCAAATTGTCTCAATGAAACTGGTATTCTGTACAATTAATATGTACTAAAAATTATAATAATAAAAACAGAATTTTCACAAAGGAACTCAGTTGAGAGTTGTTGGTCCATGACTGGCCAGGAGGGGGAGTGTGAGAGCTGCAGTTCTGACTATAGCATACCCTGCACAAATTGCTGTTGATACACTTGTTTCATGTAAGTTTGGGGAATAGTTCCTCAGATCTGGATAAGCCCTTTCTTCCTGGAAAAAATTACAGGAGTGTGGTTAATGAGAACAACTGCAGCCCCTGTTGTAGCCATTGGCTTTAAGGCCACACAGATACTCTTTCCTCTGCTACCCATTTTAGATTTCCATCACTCTAGACTAGCACCCTGACTGATCTGGGTGGCCAATAACTTGGGGTGACCACACCTTCAGAGCTCTAGACTATAGGTCACTATGCTTTTCTCAGGCTAAGGAGTCTAGACTTCCATTTGTTGTCAAAATCAGGCAAGGGTATACCAAGACATGCCTACTGTCCGAGTGTCAAACATATTCTTCACTGTCCCCATTAGGGAGTAAGTGGGGCCAATTCTATTTCCATTCTCTTTGTTTCTAGGATAGAGCAGTTTCAGAGGCTTCCATATGATCTTTTCCATCAGTATATTTCTTAATCTACAGGTCAAAAGATCAAGAGTAGAGTGGTTGTGCCAACTACCAAGTATTCCATTCCAGATATGAATTCAAGGACTGGGGAATGAATGCTTAAAGTCTCTATGACCAATTAGTATCCATTGAGAGCTGGACCTGGGCCAAGTTCCCTTTTCTTTTTTGTTTCCACTTACCCCTGATTCTCAGGGGGTCCTGGGCCTTTATGTCCTGAATCCTTAGTAATTGGTCATTTGAGTCAGGATATCACCAAGAAGAAAGCATGACTGTTTTAGTTAACTTTTTTGCTGCTGTGACTAACCGATTGACCAAAACAATAGAGGAGGAAAAGTTTATTTGAAGGCTCACAATTTCAGATGTCTTAGTCCATAGAAGGCTGGCTCCATTCCTCAGGGCTCAAGATGTCAAGGTGAGGCAGAGCATCATGGTGGGAGAGTGTGGCAGAGGGAAGCAGCTCACATTAGGAAGGAGAGGGGGGGAGAGAGAGGGAGATGGAGAGGGAGAGGGAGAGGGAGAGGTAGAGGGAGAGGTAGGGAGAGAGAGAGAGAGAGAGAGAGAGAGAGAGAGAGAGAGAGAGAGAGAGTCCACTCTCTAGACAGAAAATATATACCATATAGCCATGCCCCCAAGAACCACTTCCTCCAGCCACACCCCACCTACCTCCAGTTACCACTCAGTCAATACCATCAGGGATCAATTCACTGATTGTGTTAAGATTCTCACAATCCAATCATTGTTTCTCTGAGGTATCCTCAGATGGATTCTTACTGCTAAGCACTCTAATTCTTTTGAGAAGAAACTGCACCAAGACACATGGCACTCTTAAAATACATCAAATAGCTGAGTAAATGGTTCTTATTGGGAGACAGGTTCCCATAGTATCTTGCATTTCTGCCTATGTTGAGAGAACAGGCTTTCACTGCTTTTGTTCTGGACTGCCTTTTCAAAGATCGTACGTAGTGTAGTGATCAGCCTTGATAGGTAATGCTAGTTAGGTAGAGAGGGGAATCAATAGGTGTAAAGGCAAGAAATAAACGTGACATTTGTAGAGGGCAAAAGAAAGTTAGGGAATTCAGTAGGAATCCCTACCTGACCAAATAAGGAGCAGTACTCAGTTAATTAAAAATTCCAATGATGAATTCAAAAGATAACTCATGCATATTAATGTTTCAACTTAAAATATTCAGATATACACATATATATGTATATATATATATATATATTTAACATGTAAATATATATATATATATTTAACAGTATTTTGATGGAGTATGGAACAGTATTTGATAATATGTAAATATATATATATATATATATATATATATATTTAACAGTATTTTGATGGAGGATTAAGGTAGGTGAGCATACCTTAAATTCTGACTCTATTCACTTATGATTACACAACCTTGAATAAGTTCCTTAATATTTCTGAAAATTAGTTTCATCATTAGTAAAATTAGTCACTTCAAGAATATGTATATGTGTACATATCTATCCACATATATATAGATATATACATATTGTCTCTCCTAATGGGGAGCCCTCTGTGAACAACAGGTTTTATTTTGATGACAATTACTAACACAGAATCTTAAACCTGAGTATACCTTATAACCTTCTAGGGAGCTTGAGAGAGAAAGAGATCATGAAGGAGTATGAGAATAAATAAGAGTGATGTCTAGGTCTCATCTTAGGGCAGTTAAATTAGACCCTCAAATGTGAAGACAATATCAAAACCTCCCCCAGTTCCTTCTAGGGTAAAGTACCGCTGATGCAGACTTTCAAATTAGCTTTACCAAGTAAGCGTTAAGAAGCATGAAAGAACGTTATTTTACTCCTGCTCATTGCCTTCTAACTGTATTATCTTGTTCTCCTCTGGGCAGTTGGAGGAAAGTATTTCTGTTTTACTACTTATAAGTACTGCTTTCATCCTGGAACTCTTACCTGGGCTTTCTTATTTATCTACATTCATTATTATTACTTTATAATTTGTAATCACAAACCCCTTTCCCACCTGATTGCAGTCCTCTTGTCTGCTAGCACTTACTATCATGCTGACTTGCATGGTAGACATTTCCTTGTTTTTTCTTTAGTTTTACCACCTCTGTATAAATAATATGGTTTAGTGTTGCTTATTTTTGAATTTTCTTAAATTATACTGTATTGTTTCATCTTGCTTATTTTGCTTAAAAATCACTTTGTAAGATTTAAGCATATTATTTTATAAAGCTAGAGTTCATTCATTTCCATAAGTTAGATAATATTCCATTATATAAATAAACTGTAATTTGTTTAGGCAATCATTTTGTTTACGGATGTTGCTTATTTCTAGTTTTTTGACTCCTGTGAACAATAGCCCAAGAGCATAATGACTGGGCCAATGACTATGCATATCAACTCTACTACTAGACAATGCTAATTTTTTCCCCAATTGGTTATAATAATTTCTACTTCTAGCAGTATTGTATCATTTCTCTTAAAATGTAGCCTCTGGTTTGGTTGGGTAATAAATTTGAAAACAAACAGTGATTTTTATAATTTTATATTGAATATTTTGTGTTTTGTATAGGAACATGAATGTAAACTGACCCAGGAAATCCTAGAACTGATTGATAGAGAAGTTGACCTTATGATGAGAGGAGTCAAACCTTATAACCTTGAAGGACTCAGAAAAAGAATTGCAACACTCTTTTTTCAATATATTAAAACACCTCTGTTTAATCCTGAAGTGGCAAGATACTTGAAGGTACTATATTTTTTCCCCTGTATTCCTTTTTCAGAATCCTACATGCAATATGTTAAATTGGAAGATGCTCAAATTTTGCTTTAACTCTTTTTTTTAACATATTTTATTTTATTTTTTTTTAATTTTTTATTGTTGGTTGTTCAAAACATTACAAATTTCTTGATATATCATACTTCACACTTTGATTCAAGTGGGTTATGAACTCCCATTTTTGCCCCATATACAGATTGCAGAATTACATCAGTTACACATCCATTGATTTACATATTGCCATACTAGTGTCTGTTGTATTCTGCTGCCTTTCCTATCCTCTACTATCCCCCTCCCCTCCCTCCCCTCCCCTCCCCTCTTCTCTCTTACCCCCTCTACTGTCATTCATTTCTCCCCCTTGTATTATTTTTCCCTTTCCCCTTACTTCCTCTTGTATGTACTTTTGTATAAACCTGAGGGTCTCCTTCCGTTTCCATGCAATTTTCCCTTCTCTCTCCCTTTCCCTCCCACCTCTCATCCCTGTTTAATGTTAATCTTCTTCTCATGCTCTTCGTCCCTACTCTGTTCTTAGTTACTCTCCTTATATCAAAGAAGACATTTGGCATTTGTTTTTTAGGGATTGGCTAGCTTCACTTAGCATAATCTGCTCTAATGCCATCCATTTCCCTGCAAATTCTATGATTTTGTCATTTTTTAATGCAGAGTAATACTCCATTGTGTATAAATGCCACATTTTTTTTATCCTTTCGTCTATTGAAGGGCATCTAGGTTGGTTCCACAGTCTTGCTATTGTGAATTGTGCTGCTATGAACATCGATGTAGCAGTGTCCCTGTAGCATGCTCTTTTTAGGTCTTTAGGGAATAGACCAAGAAGGGGAATAGCTGGGTCAAATGGTGGCTCCATTCCCAGCTTTCCAAGAAATCTCCATACTGCTTTCCAAATTGGCTGCACCAATTTGCAGTCCCACCAGCAATGTACAAGTGTACCCTTTTCCCCACATCCTCGCCAGCACTTGTTGTTGTTTGACTTCCTAATGGCTGCCAATCTTACTGGAGTGAGATGGTATCTTAGGGTGGTTTTGATTTGCATTTCTCTGACACCTAGAGATGGTGAGCATTTTTTCATGTACTTGTTGATTGACTACATGTATGTCCTCCTCTGAGAAGTGTCTGTTCAGGTCCTTGGCCCATTTGTTGATTGGGTTGTTTGTTCTCTTATTGTCTAATTTTTTGAGTTCTTTGTATACTCTGGATATTAGGGCTCTATCTGAAGTGTGAGGAGTAAAGATTTGTTCCCAGGATGTAGGCTCTCTATTTACCTCTCTTATTGTTTCTTTAGCTGAGAAAAAACTTTTTAGTTTGAGTAAGTCCCATTTGTTGATTCTAGTTATTAACTTTTGTGCTATGGGTGTCCTATTGAGGAATTTGGAGCCCGACCCCACAGTATATAGATCGTAGCCAACTTTTTCTTCTATCAGACGCCATGTCTCTGATTTGATATCAAGCTCCTTGATCCATTTTGAATTCACTTTTGTGCATGGCGAGAGAAAGGGATTCAGTTTCATTTTGTTGCATATGGATTTCCAGTTTTCCCAGCACCATTTGTTGAAGATGCTATCCTTCCTCCATTGCATGCTTTTAGCCCCTTTATCAAATATAAGGTAGTTGTAGTTTTGTGGATTGGTTTCTGTGTCCTCTATTCTGTACCATTGGTCCACCCTCCAGTTTTGGTACCAGTACCATGCTGTTTTTGTTACTATTGCTCTGTAGTATAGTTTGAAGTCTGGTATCGCTATACCGCCTGATTCACACTTCCTGCTTAGCATTGTTTTTGCTATTCTGGGTCTTTTATTTTTCCATATGAATTTCATGATTGCTTTCTCTATTTCTACAAGAAATGCCGTTGGGATTTTGATTGGCATTGCATTAAACCTATAGAGAACTTTTGGTAATATCACCATTTTGATGATGTTAGTTCTGCCTATCCATGAACAGGGTATATTTTTCCATCTTCTAAGATCTTCTTCTATTTCTCTCTTTAGGGTTCTGTAGTTTTCATTGTATAAGTCTTTCACCTCTTTTGTTAGGTTGATTCCCAAGTATTTTATTTTTTTTGAAGATATTGTGAATGGAGTGGTTGTCCTCATTTCCATTTCAGAGGATTTGTCGCTGATATACAGGAATGCCTTTGATTTAGGCGTGTTGATTTTATATCCTGCCACTTTGCTGAATTCATTTATTAGCTCTAATAGTTTCTTTGTAGACCCTTTTGGGTCTGCTAGGTATAGAATCATGTCATCTGCAAATAGTGATAATTTAAGTTCTTCTTTTCCTATTTTGATGCCTTTAATTTCTTTCGTCTGTCTAATTGCTCTGGCCAGTGTTTCGAGAACTATGTTGAACAGAAGTGGTGAGAGAGGGCATCCCTGTCTTGTTCCAGATTTTAGAGGGAATGCCTTCAATTTTTCTCCATTCAGAATGATGCTAGCCTGAGGCTTAGCATAGATTGCTTTTACAATATTGAGGTATGTTCCTGTTATCCCTAGTTTTTCTAGAGTTTTGAACATAAAGGGATGCTGTCCTTTGTCGAATGCTTTTTCCGCATCTATCGAGATGATCATATGGTTCTTATTTTTAAGTCTATTGATATGGTGAATAACATTTATTGATTTCCATATATTGAACCAGCCTTGCATCCCAGGGATGAATCGTACTTGGTCATGGTGCACAATTTTTTTGATATGTTTTTGTATCCGATTCGCTAGAATTTTATTGAGGATTTTTGCATCTAGGTTCATTAGAGATATTGGTCTGTAGTTTTCTGTGTTTGAAGTGTCTTTGTCTGGTTTAGGTACCAGGGTGATGTTGGCCTCGTAGAATGAATTTGGAAGTTCTCCCTCTTTTTCTATTTCCTGAAGTAGCTTGAAAAGTATTGGTATTAGTTCCTCTTTAAAGGTTTTGTAAAACTCTGCTGTATACCCATCCGGTCCTGGGCTTTTCTTAGTTGGTAGTCTTTTAATGGTTTCTTCTATTTCCTCAATTGATATTGGTCTGTTTAGGTTGTCTATATCTCCTGACTCAATCTGGGCAGATCATGTGACTTAAGAAATTTATCGATGCCTTCACTATCTTCTAATTTATTGGAGTATAAGGATTCAAAATAATTTTTGATTATCTTCTGTATATCTGAAGTGTCTGTTGTGATATTGCCTTTTTCATCCCATATGCTAGTAATTTGAGTTCTCTCTCTTCTTCTCTTCGCTAGCATGGCTAAGGGTCTGTCGATTTTGTTTATTTTTTCAAAGAACCAACTTTTAGTTTTGTCAATTTTTTCAATTGTTTCTTTTGTTTCGATTTCATTAATTTCAGCTCTGATTTTAATTATTTTTTGCCTTCTACTTCTTTTGCTGTTGTTTTGCTCTTCTTTTTCTAGGATTTTGAGATGAAGTATGAGATCATTTATTTGTTGGTTTTTTCTTTTTTTAAGGAATGAACTCCAAGCAATGAATTTTCCTCTTAGAACTGCTTTCAATGTGTCCCATAGATTTCGATATGTTGTGTCTGTGTTTTCATTAATCTCTAAGAATTTTTTAATTTCCTCCTTGATGTCTTCTATAACCCATTGATCATTCAGTAACCTATTGTTCATTCTCCAAGTGATGTATGCTTTTTAATAGCACCAATTATATTGATGTTTTTATATTAACCAAGTTTAGCTTTTAAAGAAATAACATAGCACAATTCTCTAAAACAACAGCACTTGTTTAACCAGGTGTTTAATTTCTTTAAGATTACTTGCTCAAAAACTTACACTTATAAGCAACTTACATAGACCTTCTTTATATCATTTACTTAATCCCTCTTAATTACTTAATCATATAGACTCTTATCCAGAAACACATTTTCCCTCTATTAAAACCATACCTAGAACCTTCTAGTTTTTCTTTTTCATCTGTTAACCTCCTTCTGTTCACATTTTGAAACAATACTTGTGAATTTTTGAATTTAAGCAGATTATTTCATAGACATCAACATTTTATTAGGTTTTAATTTTGAACACCTAGAAAAACTTATAAGCTTAATTTTAAAGACATCTTTTTTTTATCTATTTATCAAATTTAAATTGAGCCATTTGAATCACATGAATCAAAGATATTTGGATCCATTTTTTAAAATTTTTCATGAGCGCTCCTCATATATCTATCAATTGTCATATCATTGCATGATATATGGACATTCACACATTCAGACATACCGACATACAACACGTAACACAAATGTAACACATAACACAATAGTAAAGGCCTTGTAGCTTTCTCATGTGAAATCTCATTGCAATGTTAAAAAAAAACTCCAGTTGATCAAAAATAGAACTTATCAGAAAAACATTAACTTGTCTGTAGGATCAAAATCATGAGCTCAAAAAAAAAAAAAAATACAGAATCTAAGAAAAGGCAAAAGTCCTAGAAAAAATTGACCAGCCAGTAATTAGTAAATGCCATATAATTTACTCTTTGGTTTAATCTAGTTTGAGTTCCCATAAAAAGACACTTTTACTCTTTTTTTTTTTCTTGGGCCTCAGATCTGTCTCCTACTGAGTGCTCCAGACTTCTATTTGCATATCAACTTAAGTCCTGGCTGAGGTCTGGAAGGAACTGGGAAAACTGGAATTCTGAGCAGAAACCTCATGCCTAAGGCATTTTAACCATAAGTCACAATTTTCAGGTTTGGATGTTGGAAATTATGATAAAAGTTTAAGATACATTTTCCTACACTAGAAAAACTTGCTCACACAAAACTGAAAATAGGATCTCTACCATCAGAAGAAATTTCTTTAGGATCATTAAGCTACTTCCTTTGTTCTGAAGTTCCTAAAGTAGTATTAGTTACATTAAGTCATTTGAAAAAAATTTTAAAAGAGAACCACACACTACCATGTATATCCAAAATTAAGCTTTAAAAATTTAAGACTGTTGCTATTCAATGTTATTTCAATAAGCCAGACCAAC